CCAAAGGGTTAGTGATTTAAATCCACTAGCATCTCCATGAAGGAACTCTGGTAGCATAGTGGTTACGAATCGGGTTGCTAACCTCACAGTCAGCAGTTTGAAACTACCAGCTGTACCGTGGGAGAAAGATGAGACTTTCTGCTCCCGTAAGGATTTATAGCCTCGAAACCCTGTAGAGGGTTGCTATGAGTCAGAACCGACTCCACAGCACATAACAACAACAACAACAAGCATTTCCATGAGAGAAAGATCCACTTCTCTAATGATTTATAGTCCACTTCCGTAATGATTTACAGCCTTGGAAATCCTATGGGGCTAATCCTATAAGTCAGAACGAACTCAACAGCAATGTTTTTGTTTTTTTAAAAAATTATTATTAATATATACTTCAGCCAGACTGCAAAGACATTTGAACTGCAAGGTTGGCGGTTCAAGCTCACCAGCTGCTCCTTGGAAGCCCTATACAGGATTGCTATGGGTCGGAACCTACTCAATGGCACTTAACAACAACTTCATTTATTTGCAATGAGAGCAGAATGGCAGTTCAGGTGCTTCTGAAATCTTGTGGTAGATGTTGGTGATGCATTGGAGGTGAGATATTTCCTGCCTTTTAGAAAAACCAGAAATGAAGTCAGAACTACTGAGTTATGTGTCCTCTAGTTACTCAGGACAGTTCTAGTAGCTGGTGTCAGCTGGACAAGGAGCCTCAAGGCAGTTTTTAGGTCATCAGATAATTCTTCCTCAGGGGTGACTCATGAGCCAAAAGGGGAAAAGGAAAGGCACTGTTTTTTTTTTTTTTTTCTAAGAATTTACCACTAGCTAGTACTGTGCCAAAGAGCTCTGGTAGCATAGTGGTTATGAATTGGGCTGTTAACCTCAAGGTCAGCAGTTCAAAAATTACTAGCTGTTCCATGGGAGAATGATGAGGTTTTCTGCTCTGATAAAGATTTACAACCTCAGAAACCCTGTACAGGGTTACTATGAGTTGGAACCGACTCCATGGCACACAACAACAGTACTGTACCAGATGACCAAGAGGAAAAGCAGGAAAAGGGGGTGGGTGGGTCACAGATCTGATTAAACCAGTGGCTGTTTTCTTTGAGGCTTAGAGAAGAGTTCCTGGCAGTGCTGTCTCATCTGGATGTGGTGGTCATAATCCTGTCTAATCTGGATGTGGTGGTCATAAAATTCCCTTTCAGGATACACATTACACCAAGAAAATAACCATCTGAGTTTCCCAAGTATTTTAAAGACATTTGGACTTAAAAAACACATTTTCTAAAAGTAGAGATTAATCAAAAATACTTTAAAAACAAGGATAAATGGTGTTTCCCTACAAAGAGTACAGTGAGTGGGAAGTGAGGAAGGAGAAAGGCCATTGAATGGAGGAAGGAGGCCTTTCTCTCTGGTGCCTGTTCTAGATGTTTGTAGAAGGTAGCATGTTGCATTGCTGTTTTCTTCTCCTGTTCTTCACCAAACCCATGAATTCCCTAAATCAATGAGATCAATCGTGGTTCCCTCAGTGGAAGGTATCTTGAACAGGTAGCAAGGACACCAGCATTCTGAGCCTGACTTGGTGTCAGTTACTTGTGGCTGCTTTCAAAATTTCTAGGCCAGTTCTGTGTTTTTGACCAAATCACTTTCTTTTTCAGGCTTCATTTCCCCCCTTCATCTCTGAAATGAGGTGTTTGGAATAAATGTTGACAGTCACTTCTCATCCTAGTTTGATTATGTTTTCACCACTAACGGAAAACTTTTGAAGTCTCCTGATTTATAAGCTAGTATGCAATTTCATTTTAAAACAATCTAGTAATGTTGTTGTTGAGTGCCATTGAGCAGGTGCCGACTCATAGTGACCATTTATAGGGTTTCTAAGGATCAGCTGGTGGGATTGAACCACTGACCTTGAGGTTAGCAGTCAGTGCTTATACAGGATTCCACTGTGGAATACAGTGCCACACCAGGATCCCATTGAGATGTGACTGTGCATGCGCACACACACAAGGTTAAGTCAAAAAGTATTGCTTCAAAATCATAGACAAAAATACCAAAATGAGAAGCTATTATTTCTTGACACATCTTTCACCTAAGTCTATATACTCTGAAAGCGGTGTTTCCATCTTTCTAATTCTTCCCTGAAGAATTCTGTGTTCTTTGATTTATACCACATTAAAACAACCGTTTGGCAGTCTCTAGTGACTCAAATCATGTTTCTTCTAAATGTTCTTTGAATTTGGGGGAACAAAAAGAAGTTTGAAGTGGCAGGGTAAGGGCTGTAGGGTGGATGGGTTAAGGTTTTCCAATGAAATTCTTGTAGGATAACTCTTGCTACCCTTGAAGAATGAACAGGTGCATTTTTGTGATAGGAAAATAAATAAATAAACCTCGGCTCAACTTCCCTTGCCTTTTTTTCACCACTATAGATTTTACTTTTTTTAAGATTTTTTCCTGCTAAACCCTGTGATTAGATACCTTTGGAAGCCACTCTTCTGATTGGGCCTTTGTGCCTTTTTTTTTTGAAGGCATCCTAATGAGACTAAGACAAGTGTAGTACTGAGAGAACTTGTCTGCAGCCATCTGCCAATCACAGAGACATGTTTAAATTAAACATGCTTTGTTTGGAATAAACCCATGCAGGTATGAAATGGAATTCTACTAGTAATACTTTTTTACTTACTCTCATGTGTGTGTTTATCATAGGTTGTTTGTTGTTGTTAAGTGCTGTCATCATGTTGTTGTTGTTGTTAAGTGCTTTGGGTTGGCTCTGACTCTTAGTGACGATGTATAGAGTTTCTGAGGAGCAGCTGGTGAGCTTGAACTGCTGATCTTGAGGTTCAAACTGACTTTGCAGTCCAGTGCATAAACTTACAGCTCCACACCAGAATTCCTTTATAATATATATTAGGTCTTAAATTCCAAATTGGTAGAAAAACACCAGAACCAAAATCCAACATAATGGACATGGATCCTGGGAACAGACAATGACACCATGTGGATAATGGAGTAGTACTGTCATTTTCCTCTTAAAGCAGAATAAATGTGATAAAATTTAGAAGTGTTGGTTTTTAGTTGAATCATGAGACATGCAATGTGGTGTGATAATGGATACAATATTTTACTGTGAACATAATTTGGAATTTGGAGAAGTTGTGGTTTGATAAGTAATACATTTGACTTTGATTATTTCTTAGCAGAAGGCATACATATAAGATGATTTTCCCATCAGTTGGTGACTTGGCAGCAGGGCAGTTTGAATTGCATTAAGATCAGACACTGTGTGAGACAGATGATTCCTAATCTTGGTTTAAGGCAACAGAGGGTCAAGTGGACGCCTCACTGAGTCAGGAGGGTCTTCAGGCAGAAATCCAAAGAGCCTCATTTCTGGGGTGGTGTTTTACAAAGATCACCTAAGTTTTGTTTTGTTTTTAATCATGAGGTATTACCATAGAAGATGCTCCAAACAATCTCCTTCTCCCGTGAAAATTACAGTTAATTTGAAGGGATTTCTTCAGTTGCTTACACCAGGAGTCAGTTAGAAATGAAGTTATCACCCAAACAGAGGCTGAGGGTAACCTTGGGCCTGTAACATTTTTCTAAGTAGTTGGGCCCTCACAGTCCATACCTATGGATCACCAAGTCTGGCATGGATCTTGAACTAGATAAAATGGTACTGCCTTTGCTGTCTGTTTCCCATGCTCACAGGGTTGTTTCCTCTGCTTTTGTTCAGTTCCGCTAGTTGGGATGATGAAAGGAAGTCACAGAGGTTGCTTTCAGCAATCAGATACAGTTATTTATTTGGTAAAGACCATGGACAACATCTATTCTGGAAAGTGGAAGAATATAATGAAAATGGGAAGTATGAGCCTGGATAAATTTTCAGTCCATCTGTGAGACAAATCACAGGAAAATGGTCAGGGGCAAAGGCAAATATATTCAACCATATTTCTAGTTGTTCTGAGCACAATGACAGCAGCATTTTGGGGAAAGCATGCAGGAAATCTGGGTGGACAGGAAGGCAGTGACTGGTGGCACCGTGCAGAACTGGATGGAAGTATTTGAGGGGTTTGGATATTGGATAAGGGTTTAGGGAGCAAGAGGCTGAGACTGGCTGAAAAGGTGATAATATCACTAAAAAACGATTCCTGCAAATGTCCTTGAAATGGAGAGATGCTAGATCAGAAGGAAGTGAATGAGGAACTTGTGGAGCTGAAAAGTAAAGAATGTATTGATCTTTAGGTAAGAGAGACACAGGAGGATGCAGAGGGAAGCAGGGTCTGAGAAATGGCTATGCAGATAACTTGAAGTTTTGTTCAAAATTCTCTCCTCTATCACAGTTTCTGTCTGACCCTCCAGCCCTACTCATTCCAGCTCCTCTCCATCACCCCTTCCCCATGCCCCAGGTCCCCAAAAAGTAGGACCTATCTCCTCTACCCTGTATGACATGGCATAGAAAATTTGAGGTGTAGGCCCCTCAAACTCTAGAGTCCATTGTTGTCCTGGGGTTTATGTCAATTTCCTTCATCCTAGTGTTCCCTCAAGTTCCTTTATGGGATTTCAGTCTGAAATCTTTCCTTTGCAATACTCTTTGGGTTTTTGCTTGCCTACAGCTTGTTCCTTCACATTCCCCTATTCTGAACACTAAGATGCTTCTGCCACAACCCCATGTTAACCTAACCCTATTTCAGCCCTTTATTGGTTCTTTGAGTTTGCTCCCAGTCCCTCCCTATAGGATCTGGCCTCAAGAGATAGAAGAGCACTAGAAGGTGTTTAACAGTCTTATCTCCACTCCACCCCAAATATTGATATAGATACAGACTAGGAATATCTTATACCCTACTTTCTCTAATAGCAGCAGAAGCAGCAGCAGCATAACGTCCCAAGCCTAATTTATGACTGCCCAATAGGAAGAAACAGGAGCTGAGGGAAGCTGATAGCTGAAACCTAGGGGTGATGGGGCAGAGGGATTACAGCAAAATACAGCAGCTGAGCTGGGATAGTCCTTAAGGTGCCCCTTGGCCAGGTTGCGTAGGGATCAATTTAGAACGGAGGGTGTCTGTATCCCCAGATACAGAATCCTCCCCAATAGGGGACAGTTGGATGCCCTTAGAAAGGTCTTGGTCATCAGCAACTACTGTGACCCCTTCAGGTCCATCAGTGATTGGGCAAATGGTCAGGGGCTTCTTGCCACAGGACCATATGCAGAAGAAAGGCCGAAGGGGGCCAGAGAAAGAGACCTTGGGGAAAGTATAGATAAGGGATCCATCAGACATATTGTAGAAGGCGATTTCTCCTGAGTCATAGTCCAAGAAAATCCCAACCCGGCGGGGGGCTCCAGCCAATGGGAGAGGTGTTCGGAGTGGGGTGAGGGCCCAGTACCCATTTCCATACAACTCTACAGCCCAGAACCCATTCTCAGGGGTCATGGGGTCGAATCCTTTCTTCATCACATTTTCCCTACACACTCCAATTGCCCAGTCAGTCCTATCTCCCACCTCTACTTCCCAGTAATGTCTCCCTGAAGTGAAGGCCTCACGACCCAAAACACAGGGCCAGGAGTCAAATCTCTCTGGTTTTTCAGGAAGTTTCTGCCGTGACTCTTCCAGTCGGACAGATTTTGAATCCTCATACAGAAAGAGATGAGGATGGGCCGTGTCTGGATCCAGAGTCACATCAACTGAGGAAAGAGGAATCTGAAGGTCAGGGAATGTTGGAGGTTTCAGGACTTACCCCTCTTTCTCCAAAGCACTAGAGCACTATTTTAGCAGTTGACATGTTTCCTGAGAAGAGCTGCTTGGCCTGCTCAGCTGTCTCCATTGCTTTCAGGTCTCCTCCCTCATCAACAGGCACAGGGTGATGCAAGAGCTGACCTTCCTCAGTGCCTCAGGAGCCTTTCTGAGGGGGACTTGGGTTTTGGCTATCATGAAAAGTTTTGAAGCCATTTGCTATTACCTCTCCCTTGTCTATCTTCACCACTAAAATGGTGCTAGTGTGTTCATCTCTAAGTATCATAGGACTTTGAATCCCTTAGCAAACAGAGCCTTTGAGAAGTTCAGAGCTACTAACCTGCATGCAGTGTAGCCTTTTTCCATTCTGTAATGAAAGAGAGAGGTGGTTATTGACAGGTTATAGAATAGGAGAGAACACTTTAGAGATGGAACAATGACAAGAAGATAGGACTTACTGAGCTCTTCCAGTAGTTTCTCTGGAAAACAAAGAGAAAGATATCAATGTCCTCTACAGGATATGACCAAAACCCACCAAAGCCACTGCCGTGGAGTTGATTTCGATTCATAGCGACTTTGTATGTTTCTGAGGCTGTAAATCTTTTCGGGAGCAGAAAACCTCATCTTTCTCACCCAGAACTGCTGGTGGGCTTGAACTGCTGCTTATCCTACAGTGCTACCAGCCTAGAGAATATACCAGAAGTGGAAAAAAGTGATATGGGAAACACACAAGGGAAGAATTGTTTCACTCATGAATACCTGAGTATAAAGATATTATCAATAAATCAAAAACAAATATTTTTGTTGTTGTTTAGTTTTCTAAGAAATATGAAGAAAGTTCCTCTGGATTTGAGATCAGGGATAGGAGAAGCACTGGACTGTTAACTACAAGGTTGGCCAGCTGCTCCTTGGAAACTCTTTACAGGGTCACTATGAGTTGATGTGGTGTGTCCTAGTGTGGTGCTGTGGGTTAATGTCCTGGATTGCAAGGTTAGTTTGAACTGTAAGGCCAGGTGGTTCAAGCTCACCAGCCGCTCCTTGGAAACCCTATACATGGTCGCTATGAGTTGGAACCAGGTATATAGCACTTAACAACAACAACAAATGGATTGCAAATGACTTGAAGGCACTTAAAAACAACAGCTGGGAAACTGAGTTAAGAATGGGCTTATGGTCTAAGGGTAGGTAGTGAGTAAACATCAGATTTACTATCTCAATTAGAATTGGCTGCAACTCTGCCCATAACCCAAAACCTTGCTGTTGTTGTTTTTAATCATTGAATATTTATGACTTTCAGATCTTTGTAATCTCTTCAATCTTTGAATCTAAAATCAAGTATTTTTCCTGCTGGAAATCATCCTAAAGGACTTGGATCCAACGGCACTCTGAAGCATTGCTGACCAGTAACCTGAGATTTTTGTGGCTTACCTTTAGAGCTGAATTCATTCTTCCTCTCTCTGGATCGTTCACTGTATAGTCTCCAGGTGAAAAATACAGACCCAACAGTGAGAAGTCCTAGGACCATCAGAATAACAGCCACAGCCACCACCCAGGGAGTCAGCCGTGGAAAGAAGGGAGCTAAAACAAAATCCCCAAGACATTTATTGAGAAACTTAGAGCAAGTCCAGCTTCTTTCCTAAATCTAAAATGGGTTAGAAGAAGTGACCGGGACCTCTTCTATTCCTCCCATGGAAAAAATAGAGACTCTGATGCCACTCTAAGATTTTCAGAAAAAGTTTTGAACTTGGGTAGAAGAGAGCAGAGAAAGTGAGGAATGAAAATGAACAAGGTCGATTTTAGGACAGGATCTGTGAAATAAAGAATGTAATCGATCAATTTATATTATTTTGGAAATTCCTCCTTATCTATCAATGCAAACTAAGAGCCAAGGGATAAGGGAAGTAAATAAGGAAAGGAAAGTTTGTAATCCAATAGGACTGAAATGACCAAGGAATAAAGCAAGTTTTCTGCCAGAACCAGTATTAGTATTTGGGAATGAGAAGATCTACATCCCTGTGAGGATCTTGAGAACCTAATAAGAAGTAAAGAGTTGAAACAGTAAAAACTGAGACATTTTTTTTAGGTTTCTTGTTCACTCAAGGACAAAATGACTCTGGATTAGAAAGACCCCCAGTAACAAAGCTTCTCTACCTAAGATGTATCTTTTAAAATGGAAAGCTTGGAATTTCTATGTCATGTAGATAGAGTTTGTGTCTTCAGAATCTTTACTATTCTAGTAAAATTGGTGGGCTTCCTCAAGTCATCAGGCAGAAGCTTAAGTGGGAAAAGTGAATAGCTCAATGAGATCATGACTGGATAGGTGTCCTAGCTGATGTGGCTTTGAAGCTGTGTCAACATAGAAATCCAGCATTAGTTCCACTAACCTGGTATAGAAATTCCTACTTCCTTCTCCTGATCAAGAAGGAGGTTCTGGATACAGCAGGATACATTCTTCAGGGAGTTGTCTCTGATAATCAGTGAAGCTGCCACAGTGAACAGGCCTTCTTCATCAGGACTGCTGGACTCTGTCGTGGATGGCAATTTCTCTCCCTGGGTAGTTCTCCACTGCACCTGGGGCTCTGGATACCATCCAACTGAGGAGCACTCCAGTTGGATCTTGCCATTTTCTTCAACTTTCATATAGATGTGAGGATCAGAACCCAGAGCTATAGAAACAGAAATTGGCCTTAATCCTCTAGGGAGCACTGTTCTGTGAACTTTATGTAACCATAGAGCTATGTAGTTTCAAAGAGACGAAAAGAGAAGCACAAGGGACTAAAATTTGGAGGGATTCATCTTGATATTTCATTACACAATGAAACTGACACATCAACAGAGGGATTTTCTTAAACCTTATCAGAGAAGGATGCCATGTTGGAATCTAGTCATTGATCCCACCTCTAAAGGGAAGACAGGCATTTGAGCTGGCCTTTAAAAAGTGGGCAGTGTGATGGACACACATATGGGTACTTGTTCAGCTAACAGGAACAGCATGATCAAGACTTTGAGATCAGTAAGTGGTCTAAGTGGGGAGCTTCAGAGATAGATGGGAACTCTGATTGGAAGTATTAAGAGAAGACTCTGAGGAGCAGGAGAACTAAGATTGAGTGTTTAAGAATGAACAGAGAAGGAGTACCCTTGGGGAAAGGGAGGATTAGAGGGTCTTTGCACTGAGATCATAGTTGTCAGTTGCAGTTTCTTTTAGCTGTGATGCTGATTTAAAAAATTTTTAAATGGTTTCATCAACTTCATCTTCCCTCACATAATTATGTCTGGACATAAATTCACTTAAAAACTTCTTATCCTGTCTGTTTCGCCTAATTCTTTTCTTACAATTCCACAGCATATAGGAAAAACACATTGAGCTGCAGGGTAGAGTCCATAAGCAAATGTCCACAACTGTTGCTTTAACTCTATATTCCAAATTTGTGTATATAGATGAAATTGTGTATTCTTTTCATGAAAGGTTTGTTGCTTTCAGCAGATTCTCAAAGGTGAGTATTCTATGCTATCAAATCTCAGTATTTTTTTATAATCAACCTTCAAGATACTTCTTTCCTAAGAAATGAAAACATGTGAATTACACATGCTGTTGCTGCAGGGGGCGTCCTTGCAGAAACTCAGATTTCACCCAAGTATTTTTCCAATTTTATTTTTATTTCAATATATTTATTAAAATCAATATATTGATACATTTGATATTTTGAGTCATCTAAGGCACAGTTGAAATTGTAGCCTAGAGCAGTTCTATTCTGTCACATAAGGTTGCTTTGAGTAAAAAATCGACTGGACAGCACATGACAACAAGGCACAGTAATATCTTATAAGTATATACTTTTAGAGTTGACAAAACAGTTTTCCTATGTTGTATAATTTTATTTCATTCTTGTAAAATTCTACTAGATAGGTGCTTTCCCAGTTTTACATTAAAAAATATGATTCAGAAAAAGAATGACTTACTGTCATTCACTAGTATGAGGGCAAGTAAAAAAATACTGCTACAAAATCATAGGAACACTTACTAATATTGAAATATTAAATAAAAACATGAAACTGATATTTTTCAATATGTCCTCCATCTAGGTCTACGCACTTCTGAAACCAATGTTCCCATCTCTCGAATCCTTCCCTGAAGAATTCTGCACTCTGTTAGTTTTAAGAAGCTCTGGTAGTGTAGTGGTTACAAATCAGGCTGCTAACCTTAGGGTCAGCAGTTCGAAACTACCAGTGGTTCCATGGGAGAAAGATGAGGCTTTCTGCTCCAGTAAAGATTTATAGCCTTGGAAACCCTGTACAGGGTTGCTATGAGTTGGAACTGATTCCATGGCATATAACCACCACCATCAAACGTTAGTTTTGACATCCTTGAGGGACTCAGACTGTGTTCTTTTTAAATGTTCTTGGAGTTCTGGGAACAAAAACAAGTCTGAAGAGGCAATACCATAGCTGTAGGGTGGATAGGCAAGGTTTCCCAGTGACCTTCTTGTAGGGCAGCTCTTGCTACCCTTGAAGAAAGAGTAGATGCATTGTCATGATGGAAAAAAGTTCATTGGCACAATTTTCCTGGCTTTTTCTCACTAGTGCAGTTTTCAATTTTCTTAAAACTTCTTCCTAATAAGATTGTCTAATGTGATTGTCCTATGTGCTTTGAGAAAAATTTATCAAAATGACCTCTTTGGAATTCCAAGAAAACAGTTGCTATAATCTTCTGAACTGACCTCTGCCTTGAATTTAACTGTTCCAGCCAATCTCCCTGGAAGCCACTGGTTTTTTTGGACCTTTTTTGGAAGGCACCCTGAGATGAGTGTATTACTGAAAAGACTTATCTGCAGTCATCCACTGATCACAGAGACATGCTTAAACACAATTCGTTTGGAATAAGCCCGTGGTGTATGTTCTGGAATCCTAACAGCAGTACTTGTTGACTTCCTCTAGTAAGTGAGAAAGACAGACTTCAATGTGACTTTTCTCCTGAATGCCTTCCATTGTCATAGTGTTTTATCCTGAAATTCAGCTTGAAGCAAAAAAGGAAACAAAGGTAAAACCTTTTCTGGGTAGATCAAGAATGCTAACACTCATGCCCTATCACTGTAGGAATTCAATCATTAAAGACACATCCAAAAACAGAATCAAATAATGGAATGGGGATGCTCACAATAGCCTTATTGTAATGGTGAAACAGAAACATAACTTAAATATCCTATTCTGGGACTTGATCAAGTAAATGATGGTGTACTAATAGAAAAGAATGTGGTGCTGCAGGATACATACTTGACTGCTAACCACAAGGTCAATGGTTCATACCTACCAGCTGCTCCTCAGAGACTTTATACAAGGGTGCTTTGAATCAGAACTGACTCAACAGCACTTGACAACAATAAAAAAGGGAAGTCCTGGTGTGGTGCTGTAGGTTCAAGCCCACCAGTCACTTCCTGGAAACTCTGGAAACTCTATGCAGGGTTGATATGAGTTGATACCAATTCCATGGCACTTAACAACAACAACCAGAAAAGGATGTTATGCAGCCTTTACATCTTACATTTAATAACATGTGTAAATGTCTTTCTATAATTGAGGGGAAACAGTAGGCAGTAAATTAAATAAAACTTTTAAGAAAGACATTTTTTGGGGCTTTCTCCCCTCTTAAAACGCAAGCCCTTTTCACAGCCATCTCTCACCGGTCTGCCAACCGCCTCCAATTTAAGGGATTTTTTGAAATGAATCTGATGGTTTACAAAGCAATTTGATCTATGGGAACATAGTTAGCATATGAGAGACACCAAACAAAGGCCAAAACCTCACCAGCCTACTACTCACCAGCCACTTTCAGCTGCACCTTGGCCTCTTCATAGCTTTCATTCTCCCTGAAAAAACACCGGTATTCTCCGTCATCGGAGGCCCTGACTTGGTGGATGCGCACAGCCACGTTTCCCTGGGTGATGCTGTCCTTCACCAGCGTGACTCGCCCTCGGTACTCTGGCATCTGCTCTCTGTCCTGCTGTTGTCCATCACGGTGCACTAATACTGCAGGCGAGACCTTCTTCCGGAACCATCGCAGCTCCATGCGCTCAGCACTCACGTTTGGGGAGAGATGGCAGGGCAGCTCCGCGTCTTCACCCACCAAAGCCAGGATGGGCTTCGGAGGTCCAAAAACGTCAAAGTGAGCTGCGCATAAACAAGCAGAACCAGGGACAGAGTGTGTATGGAGATGGGAGTTCAAGGCTGACCCAGACCAAGTTCCCAAGAAAGGCCAGAGTCCCATGCACTATTTCTCTAATTCCTCCAACAGTCTTGGGGTGTCTACTGGACCCAGAAGAGGTAGTTGAAGAGAGCCACATGGAACTGTTTACATGTACTGAGAAGTTTCAACCCATTATGTCAGTTATAGAGGAAAACAAAAGGGAGGCCTACCTGAATCCAGTTTGGAAATCTGGAGGAGAATGAGGATGAGTAGACATCTGGGGAGGCAGGAGTTTGGGGAAAATGCCATACCCAACCTTTCTGGACAGCAAGATATTGGTATGAGGCCACTGGAATTCAGTCTAAAAGATAAATGGGTAGAAGAGATCTCACCATGGACTCTGTAGACTGTGTCGCTAATCTATGTGCATCTGATGTTTCTTCTCTCTGCTCCCCAATGTGACGTTTCAGTCCGTTTTTCCATAAGCGTCTGCTCACCCACTACCTTAAGTTTGGTCAAGCATGTATATGAAATGAACTAAAACGCCAAAAGAGACTTTGGAAAAGAGAGTTGTGCATTATAATACCCAGGAGTGGGTTGTATAAATGAACAAATCTTGGAATAACAACCCTAAAAAAGGGTTTTCAAATACAGTAATTTGATATTAGCTTTTAGCAATAATAATAAAAATAAAGGGATGGACCAAGTTACCAAGGAAACGAAATGGAGGAGAAAAGAGAAAATTCTGGGAGAAGATAAAACAAGAAAGGGGAGTTGAAGAAAGTTTAAAAGTTTAAAGAATAGAGGGCTTAGTATCATAGAGGAAGGCATCAAAGGGAGAGAAGAAGGCCTCTAGCAGCTCACTTTTACAAGAGCTGAGAATAATCGCATGTACAAACCTGATGAGCTTGGAGGAAAAGGCACCAAGAAGCCACTGCTACCAAGTGAGAAAACTGTGGCTCAGGGACAAAAGTTAAAGGCCAACAGGAAAAGGAAGGGAAAAAAGCTCTCAGAAAAACCTGCCTCCAGGCAGCCTGATATACTTACTCTGAAGGAAAAAAAAAAGTTTTGTAGGGAGCTGAAGTGTCTATGGATTTGTGGTGTTCAACTCAGATATCAAGGTAAACATTAATGAGCTAAACTAAATAAAAAGTGAAAAGGGAAGAAGAGGGCCAAAGAAAAACCAGCATGCGATGTCTGACTTTGAGCCAGTTTATTCACCTTTCTAAACCTTAATTCTTTTTTTAATTCTTTTTTCCATTCTCTATCACCCAAGTTAACACGTGTCTACCCTCTTGTTGTTAGGTACCACTGAGCTGGTTCTGACTCACAGCGAATGAAACACTGCCCCTGGTCCTGCGCCATACTCACAGTTGTTACGCTTGAGCCCATTGTTGCTGCCACTGTTATCAATTCGTCTTATTGGGGGTCTTCCTCTTTTTCTCTGACCCTCCACTTTACCAAGCATGATGTCCATCTCCAGGGACTGGTCCCTTCTGATAACATGTCCGTAGTCTGTTATGACCCATACAGTTGAAAGCCTTTGTGTAGTCAGTAAAGCACAAGTAAACATCTTTCTGGAGACCTAGTGTGGTGCTGTGGGTTAATGCACTGGACTGCAAAGTCAGTTTGAACCACAAGGTTGGCGGTTCAAGCTCACTAGCTGTTCCTTGGAAACCCTATACAGGGTCACGATAAGTTGCAGCTGACTCAACAGCGCTTAACAACAACAACAAACATTGTTATGGGATATCCCTAGTTCCATGTCGTTTTCTAACTATTGCTTGAATTCCTGGCTGTTCCCTATCAATGTACTGTTGCAACAATTTTGAATTATCTCTAGAAAAATTTTACTTATTGATGATATTGTTTGATGATTTCTGCATTCTGTTCAATCATCTATGTATGGAATGGGCACAAATATAGATCTCTTTCAATTGGTTGGCCAGGTAGCTGTCTTCCAAATTTCCTGGCATAGATTAATAAGTACATCCTATGATGCATCAGTTTGTTAAAAATTTCAATTTATATTATGTCAATTCCTAGATCCTTGGTTTCTGCCAATGCCTTCAGTGCAGCTTGGACTTCTTTCTTCAGTACCATTGGTTCTTGATCATATGCTACCTCTTAAAATGGTTGAATATCAATCATTTCTTTTTTGTACAGTAACTCTGTATTCCTTACATTTTCTTTTGATACTTTCTGCATCATTCAATATTTTGCCCTTTGTGTTGTTAAGTGCCATTTAGTCAGTTCCAACTTATAGCAAGCAGCTGGTGAGTTTGAACTGATCAGTCCAGTTCTGATCCTACAGTGTCACACCAGGAGTCCATTTTGCTCATGTTGTTGTTATTGTTAAGTGCTGTTGAGTTGAATCCCATCTAAGTGACCCTGTATAGAGTTTCTGAGGAGAAGTTGAACCACCAGCATTATAGTTACTAGTCCAATGTTTATCTTACAGCGCCACATCGCAATGTAGGTGTTAAATTTTTAGGAGGGCCCAGTCATCTATTCTGTCTTCTGCTACTTACATGTTTTCAGTTCTATTTGATAGTGAATGTATGCCATGTATCACAGTCCCTAAATTTATGCTTATTTTTTCATTGATGATCTTTATAGTTTTAGGTTTTACATTTAGATCTTTCCTCTATGTTTATTTGTTTTTTGTATATGGTGTGAGCTATAGGTCTTCTTTCATTATTCTGCAAATGGATTTCCAGTGTTGCTAGAACCATTTGTTGAAGAGACTCTCATCCCCATTTTTTAATATGTTTTGGCCCTTTGTCAAAGATCAGTTGACTGTATGTGGATGGACTTATTTCTCGGTTTTCAATTCTGTTCCACTGATCTATGTATCTTTTGATGTACTAACATCAGGCTCTTTTGATTACTGTAGCTGTGTAGTAGGATTTGAGATTGGGAATTGAGAGGCCTCCTACTTTTTTCAGTAAAGTTGTTTTTCAGTAATGTTTTGCTTATTCAATGTTGCTTTCCTTTCCATATAAAGTTGTTATTGTTAAGTGCCATCGAGTCAGTTCTGACTCATAGCAACCCTGTACAGGGTCTCTAAGGAGTAGCTAGTAGATTTGAACTGTCAATCTTGCGGTTAGTAGTTAAGTACTGATCCTATAGTGCCATACCAGGACTCCCATATACAGTTAGTAATGAGTTTTTCCATCTCTTATAAAGAATGATGTTGAAATCTGGATTGGAATTGCATTATGTCTGTAGATTGCTTTAGTAATGTTTACATTTTCACAGTTAAGTCTTCCTATCCATTGTTGTTGTTGTTGTTGTTGAGTGCCGTTGAGTCGGTTCTGACCCATAGCGACCCTGTACAGGGTTTCCGAGGGTGTAAATCTTTATGGGAGTAGATTTTTCTTTGATTTTTTTGTTCCATTTTTGTACATCTCTTTTGATTTCTTGTAGTAGTGTTTTGTTGTAGTTTTCTTTATATAGGTCTTTTGTTTCTCAGGTTAAATTTATTCCTAAGTATTTCATCTTATGGGTGGCTATTGCAAATAATATTGTTTTCCTGATTCGCTTGCAGAACTCTTTTTGTTGGTATAAAGGAATCCAATGGATTTTTGTATGTTGATTTTGTACCCTGCCACTTTGCTGTAACTTTCAATGAGTTTTAATAATTTTCTTCCTGAGTCTTTGGGATTTTCTAAGTATCAGATCTTATCATCTGCAAATAGAGATAGTTTTACTTCTTTGCCAATTTGGAAGCCTTTAATTTCCCTCTCTTTACTTATACCTCTGGCTAAGACTTCCAATACAATACTGAATAAGAGTGGTGGTAAAGGGCATAGTTGTTTGTTTCCTGTTCACAAAGGGAATGCATCAGTTTCTCTCTGTTGAGAGTGATGTTGGTTGTTGTATATATATATATATATTCTCTTAAGTATGTTTTGAGGAATTTCCCTTCTATTCTTATTTTTTTGAGTGTTTTATCAGGAATGTATGTTGGATTTTGTCAAGTGTCAACAATTATGTCAACAATTGTGTCAATTGTTTTGTTTATGTGGAGGATTATGCTGATTGTTTTTATAATATTGAACCATCCCAGCCACCTGGTATGAGTCCCACTTGGTCACCATGTATTTATTTTCAATATGTTGTTGTGTTCTATTGGGAATTTTTTTTTACCTGTGTTCATGAGAGATAAGCCTTAATTCTTTTTATCCCTAAAATGGGAGTATAAGATGAAGCATGTAAAATCCACAGTAGGGATTCAAATGAAGGTAAGCTGTTATTCCATTATTATTTCTGTAGGTTAACAACTGAAAAGGCAGGTGGCCAACGTAGCAGTAGCTTCTAGCTCACTGCTGGCAGCCCTCTTCTTCATGGTCCTTTTCACTGACACTTTTATGTATCTGTTGGCATAACTCCATTGGAGACCAAGCTTAAAGGTCAGCCGGGAAAGAGCCAGTCTAGTGAAGTGATTCTGTTTTTAGGATCCCAAAGATGACTCCTTGCCAGAGTTTTCTCAAAACAACTCATTAGATCTGTAATTCCTTAATTTGGCTAAACCTCTTACTGCTATGGGAAAAGAGAAACGAATGGTAACTTTTGGAGTCCTGGTGTAGTGCTTGCTGTACTGCTAACCACAAGATCGATGGTTCAAACCCACCAACCACTCCTTGGAAACCCTATTGTTAATGAAGTCATATAATGTAGAGTGTGTTTTAAACTACTCACCATTGAGATATAAAATGAGCAGATTAGGCACATAGACAAACAAGCATAAATTGGGGAAGATAGATACCATACCACCATTGCCAAGGAACTGAGGAGTCCTGAAAGAGACAAGGATCCTCTCCCAGAGCCAACAGAAAGAGAGTTGTCCCCTAGAGCCATTGCCCTGAATTTGAATTTCTAGCCTTCTGAACTGTAAGAAAGTAAATGTCTGTTTTTTAAAGTCTCCCACTTATGATGTTTATGTACAGCAGTACTAGGACACTAAGGATAAATCCTGTAGGTGTATTTGAGGGGAGGAGGAGAGGGGAGGAGGAAGAGTTTTAATTTGTACCCAAGGGAGCTAGACCGAAAAGAAAGGGGCTAGGGAAATGGCAAGCAAATGGTGTTCAGAGCTCAAGCTATTACATGGCAACCACAATTCTGATGGATAACATCTGAATCATTTTGTCAGATGTTTTGTCAGACTCCTATAGCAGAGTACTGGTGTGGTGCTATAGGATAATGCACTGGACCCTAAGGTTGGTTTGAACTGCAAGGTTGGCAGTTCAAACTCACCAATCACTCCTTGGAAACCTCATACAGGGTCTCTCTGAGTCAGAACTGAT